GTGTTTCTTTGAAACCTCTGATCGTTAATGGTAGAGTTAAATAAAGGTGGTACCTCTGAGTTTCTATGGGCTCTCTGAGAGTCCTGGATGGACTCTGTGGCACGTGTCAAGCTGTCAATCTTAGTGGATACTAGATTGAGAGCTTTGGTCATGAGGTTGGCAGCCTGAACAAACTCCGGAATCTTTTCTGTTGCACTGGACATGGCGTCTGCCGCCCTTTCCATCTTTGTTGACAGTATTAGAAGTTTGTCAACTGCCGTATCCCAAGATTGGATTACTTCTGCTTGTTCAGCTCCAACGTTCCTGATTTCAACAATCTCTGGTTGCTGAATGGTGTTGTCAGTGTCCTCTGGTCTTAGTTGAGGGGTAGTCGTGTTCTCCGACAACTCTGAAATTGTGAATCATGTCTCTAGATTGTTTGGATTTTGCAGAAGTTGAAGCTGCTGGTTTTATATTGCCAGCACCTCGATAGGCCTCTCTGATATAAATGATTCACAACTCTGATACTCTGGAAAGAACAAGTAGGAGAAAAAAATATTCTCACCTTCCTCTGAGTTGTCAACTGGTAAATCTTGAGGACTGTCCCTTGGAGGTGTTTCGGTAAAGTTGGACTCTACATTTATTTGGGACTCTTGGTCTTGTTCATTCATCTGAGAAACAGCCCTCGTTGTTATTGTTGACACACATCTGAATATACCAAACACAAGAAATTAATATGCATGCATGCATTTATTATGTGGGCGTGTTCTCGTACACGGACGGCACTGCCTGTCCGGTTGGAATCAACACCTGGCTTGTTAGCACCGCTAACCTCAAATCTCTCACACGCTCTCCCTCCCAACTCGTGTCACCGCACTGCGTGTAACTCGAAAAAAACGTGGGAAAGAGGTGCACTTGCGCATGTAAAACAGAAGCTTCGCGAGAAAAACTAACAGCCCCTCTCCGCAATGGTTAAGAAGGTCAACTGCTGCGGGAGTTTATTAACTTGCAGCACCGCTTGCAAGTTACGTACCTATAGGTACATACACCTATTCGAAGGATGTAAATTTCAACAAACTGACAGCACCAAATTAATAGGAAAAAAAACGTACTCTGAGTAGAGAAAAAAAATTTATCCTCTTCAAGCAAGAATTCGCGTATGTTGTTCACGTGCATGTAGCTCTCGAGGCCCGTGCGCGCCAACAAATGGCGGCCTCGCTCAGGTCTGCGTGATCGTGGTGTTCGCGCGGGCTTTTATTATGTCGACCACCAACACGCACTTCTACATTGAACTACGCTGGCCGCACGCGGACAATAAAAAAATTTAATAGCACTGTGCCCTGCACCATTCGCTCACGCACATTATCACCCTGACACAGGAAACACGACTTGGAACCTCTGAAGCAAGACACTCTGAGAAGGAAAAAAAACTCACTGCTTTCCTCCTCTGAAGCCCTTCATGGCAAGGCCGGCTCGTCCTCTCGAGAGAAAAAAGGTGGGACCCATAACCTGTCAAGGTAGTGGGCTCGGAGATGACGGTAGGCACTTGCGAAGGAAAAGGCACAAAAGATTTAATCTCACAATGTATTATAAACACGTAATACGGCAAGGTCAGCTTTAGGCTGATACAGTAAAAGTAATATAACAGCTGTAAAGTGGCGATCTAGAAGAGAGACAGTGTATCGGTCGGCTGCCGAAGAAGCAGTGGAACTAGTGAGCGTCGCCAGACGACCACGAAGAGCTCAAGTGACTGTAGTGCCCGATGTCTTCATAATGCGGCGCATGTGTGAGCAAGCCGGGAATTTTGATTGCTCAAAGCTCACTTTCTTGACACAAATGGATTCAAAAATTAAATTCGAATTAATGACTACAAAACTGAACAATATTCTAAAAATAAACAGAATAAAATTACCAATAAAAATATTAAATCGAGATTTTTAAAAAGTAATGTACTAAAACCTGATAAATATGAATATGAAAATTTTGTTTATAATTCATATAGTAAAATTTAATAATGCAATGAATTCGTATGATTTTAAAAGTTNACCCTAAATATATTCACCAGTTTCTAAAATGCAGACTTCAAAAATTTTATTGGCATACTGTTGTCAAAATAAATTAGTTAATGAACAGATAGATGTAGAAACTACTTTTTTAAATGGTTGAGTAAAATCTGAGATTTATGTTAAACAACCTAGAGGTTAAAAAGAAAGTTTTGAAATTAAATAAGGCTTTGTATGGTTTAAGAGAAAGTCCAAGACTATAGTATACATATTTTGATACATTCATTAGAGAGTTTGGATTTGTGAGAAGGAGAAATAATTGTTGTCTATATGTATTAACTAATAAAAATTAAATTAATTATTTAATTTTGTTTGTTAATGACTTATCAATTTGTGGTAAGGATAAAACTAAAGTTAATTGTATTAAAGTATTGTTGTAAAAAAGGTTTTAGATTAAAGATCTAGAAGGAATTAAAACTTATTTAGGTAAAAATATTCGTTATAATTATGAAAAAGGGAAAATGACACATGATCAAAAAAATGTATAAAAACGTTAGTGAATGGATATGATAATAAAAATTTAAAATTGTATGCAGTTCCGATGGAACAAAATTTAAAATTAGAACTAGCACAATCAGCATGTGAGGGGATTAAATTTAGAAACTTAACTGGAGCTCTGTTGTACATAAGTTCAGGGACAAGACGTGATGATAGTTTTTTTGTTTATTATTTAAATAGTCTCTGAAACAGTTATAATAAGACACATTTTCAGTGTGCGTTAAAAAATTTGAAATATTTATTTTTGATGAAAGATTTAAAACTGCTTCATTAAAAGTATAATAGTAGTACTTTTATTGATTATGATGTTGATGCTGATTAAGCCAGTGATGTAGTTGATAGGAAATATACGACAGGTTACATTGTAAGGTTATACGGTAGAGTAATTTTTTTTGGAATCATAAAAACAAAATGGTGTTACTAAATCGTCAACTAAAGCTGAGTATGTTGCGTTATCTAGGGGTGTAAGTTAACTAAAAGTGATAAAGAACAATTGAACTGATTTCAAATTAAATTGAAAGAACCCATTCAAATTTATGAAGACAATAGTCGTTTTATAAGTTCTGTGGAATATAGTAATTTTACAAAAAATTCAAAGAATACATTTTAACACACTCTAAGTTTGTAAATAAGGGTTGTGTAAAAAATTTAATAAATATAGTAAAAACTAATTCAAATGATCATGCTACCGATATTCTGAAAAGCCATTAGGACGTGATAAGTTTCTAAAATTCAGAGAAAACTAGAATGTAATATAAATTTAAGATGGTCTGTTGAAATGTAAGTGAACTTATATTACTGGTAGTTAACGACATCAACTATACGGCGTACATACCACACGCACAAGATAGGATAAGAGGAACAGTATACATAATAAGGAAGTGTTAAGGCAGACTGATTATGACCTGTGCCAGGTACGCACGTTCACGGCGTACAGTGGGCAAAAACAGGTTTTTCTGTTTCAAAATCGTAAATCTCCAGAACGGTTAAAGATAAAGCCAAATTTTTTTCGAAAATCATAGATTAGTAAATTGTCTATACAGAAAAAATATCATACACCACGCCAAATGGTCCCCTAACCTTGAAAAAAATGGGGAATGATGGAAAAAATACCCATTTTTTCATTGGAAGTCATAAATCTCTCAAACGAACATAGATAGAATCATAAAACTTCTTGGAACATTTAGCTGTTTATACGGGGATAACACAAAAATTTCGTTAAGCACAGTGCAGTTATCCCCTAACCTGCAAAAAACGGTTAATTACTTAAAAATAGAGGTTTTGTCATTAAAAATCTCAAAAAATGAAAACAAACAAAAATACAATTTTAAAACAATATACTTAAAAAACCAAAAATACATGTTAGTTTTTTTACTGTGTCAAAATCTTTTCTAACCTAAAAAAATAATTAAACAGTGGAAACGACACGTTATTCTCTTGAAAATCGTAGATCACATGACTGAATAATAATAGAAAAAAATAACTTCCTGAAAAATTCTACTAAGTAACAAAAAACTAATAAAAATTTTTTTTCTTGTGGTATAAAGTAGTATCTAACCTATAAAAACAGTTGAATCATGGAAAAAGACGTGTTTCACTATTTACAATAAAAAATCTTATGAACCAATAAATATAGGATCATGAAACCCTTTTGAGTATTCAAGTTTCAGGTGAAAAAAACAGAAATTTTTTTTTCTTTATGTTTCAAGTCCTATCGTAACCTGTAAAAGTAAAAAGAATATGGAAAAAATTATTTCAAGTAGAACTGTGAGTTTTCTAAAGAAACTAATATTTATGATAGTGGCTTATGAACTTGTCAAAAATTGAAAGAGAGAAACTGGGAGCACACAAACATTTAGTCCAATACTTGAAATATTTATCCTAACCTACAAAAATGTTTATATCACAATAAAAACGTAGTTCTTTATTAATAACTGTCAATTCTAACTGGAAAAAAAATCATAAAACTTTTCTCAGCTTTTAACTTATACAACAACTTGAGCAGGTGCGTTTTTACTCACTAGTACAGTAAAATATTAAGAATAATACACTTTTTCCATTTGGAGTCTTAATTCTCCAGAGCAAATAGAGATAAGATTGTATAACTCACTAGGTAATAAAATATTTTCAATAACTGACCAAGCATTTCGTTTACTAGTGCGAAATCATTACTTAATTAGTCGTCAATCCTGAGTTACTTGGTAAAAGTATCATGGAATTGATCATTTCTTTCGTTATTTATTTAATCGATAACTTATCATTATTAAAAATCAATCTCCGATGTAATTATTTGTCATCACTTGGGTTATTAGGTTACAGTATGATTTTCAGCTATTGAAATGAATGTTTTCATGATGAAAATGATAAATATTCTGATGAGAATATTACAACAGACAATGAAAGTGATGACCATGATGCGAATGAAAACGATGAAAATAATAGTAAAGAGAATTATTAAGTAATTAAAGATGTAAAAAACAGCAAATTTTTTATTACAGACAATAGAACTACATGCGCTCAAAAGTAGTGTGCCTTATCAATTGTTTAACTAATTAAGGAGTTTTATATTCAAATGACAATTGGTTCTAGAAATATAAATTATTCAAAAATGTTATGACATTTTTGCACAACGAAAACATTTAGTTTTTTTTTTTAAAGAAAAAATTCACACTAGCTAACGAAATGCTTCGTCAGTTAACTAGAAACTTCATTAGCTAATGAGTTATACAATCTTATCTCTATTTGCTTTGGAGATTCGAGATTCCAAATGGGAAAAGTGTATTATTCCAAATATTTGACTGTACTAGTGAGTAAAAACGCACCTGTTCAAGTTGTTGTATAAGTTAAAAGCTGAGAAAAGTTTTATGATTTTTTTTCCAGTTAGAATTGACAGTTATTAATAAAGAACTACGTTTTTATTGTGATATAAACATTTTTGTAGGTTAGGATAAATATTTTAAGTATTGGACTAAATGTTTGTGTGCTCCCAGTTTCTCTCTTTCAATTTTTGACAAGTTCATAAGCCACTATCATAAATATTAGTTTCTTTAGAAAACTCACAGTTCTACTTGAAATAATTTTTTCCATATTCTTTTTACTTTTACAGGTTACGATAGGACTTGAAACAT